ACAAATATGTATATCTAATAAATAGATATACAAATATGTATATATCTATTAAATAAATATACAAATATGTATATCTATTAAATAAATATACAAATATGTATATATCTATTAAATAAATATACAAATATGTATATCTATTAAATAAATATACAAATATGTATAACTATTATCTATCATCTATACCAATAAGATTATCTAAACCTTTCGACAACAAAAACTTTTTTAAGTGAATTCAAAATAAAAATAGTTTTTAAAAAATCGAATCAAACCAGAAAAAATCTACTGAGGCAAAAATTTAAATAAATCAAACCGTGAAATAAAAAAATAAAATTAAAATGAGGTAAAAAATCAATTCAAGCAAAAAAATCAAATCAACGCCCAAAGTAACACTTTTTCAAACGTAAAACCTTTTGTGCATAAATTAAACTATAATTATAAAAGATCTTGATCCCTAGCTGTGTGTTCAGAGCTTTTCTAAATTTTCTCACAGTTTGTTTATATACACAATAGTTACTTCAAGTACTTAACAGGGTTTACTTTTTCTAAAAATTTAATCAATATATTGGAAGATTATATTTTTTTAGTTTTTAAAATTGACGAAAAAATACGTATTATGTAAAGAATTTTAACCCTGAATACTTTCCATTTAACCTTGTCTAATAAATAATAATACGAGGCATACTTTGCCCAAGGAGGCGTGTCCGAACCATGGCAAGGGGCGGGGACATCCCGCCCCCTTTACGCGGTTTACTCCCTCGTATAAATTCCTTAATAGGCGTAAAGTGTCATATGGGAGATATTATGGGAGATAATTATGGAAGAAATATTCAGATAAAATACGCAACTATTATATATGTTCATATAAAGAGCAGACATAGATAGATAGATAGATATATAGATAGATAGATAGATAGATAGGTAGATAGATAGATAGATAGATAGATAAATAGATAGGCAGATAAAGAGAAAGATAACTTGATAGTTAGATAAATATCAGGATAGATAGATAGATATGTAAATAGATAAATATAATTGATGTATAGATAGATAGATAGATAGATATAATTGATATATAGATAGATAGATAGATAGATATATAAATAGATAAATATAATTGATAGATAGATAGATAAAAACTCGAAAAAAAATTTATTGGAAAGGTCGATATAGTTTAATGCTTAAGCCCAGTTGGATATCTTCTCTAAATTAATGTTTGATGTCAACTGAAGTGTGCTGGAAGAGCTAGAATCACGCTTTTTATTCACACAACAACACTTTTTATTCAACAAACACACACAAACACACACCTAACCCCATATTTAACAGTTGTACTCAATTTACATAATTGCGCATTTTTGAAACTGTGTTTCACTTAGTTTTCTTTTGGACGTTTTTTACAACTGGTTGGAACTGACATACATACTTAATTGTATCATATAAAGGAGCACAGTTTGGTTTACTTTTTATCGATAAGTATCATAATCAAATAGATTAGAAGTACAATAGGTGACAACAGAGAAATGGACCAATTATACACGACGTCACATATAACAAGGAAAACGAAATTTTCTCACATTAGTTGACATGTTTTCCAATATTAAATAAAAGAGTGTGAAAACAGAAAATAAAGAACCCCCCCCCCCCTCCCTACTCTTTCTCTATATATCTTGCCTGAAAAACCATTTAATTTGAGAAAACCTGAAAACTAGAAAATTATATCTGTTAAGTTTAAAAGCCTGCTCTCTTCACTCTGCAGGGATGAACATAGCCTATATCAAGTTTTAAAAAATAATTTTTGAAAATATGGTGAAATGTTAAAAAAAATCTAATTTTTTAAATTCTAATCTTTAATTTTTCTCCCCCCCCCCCCACTATATGGACTGGGTGATTAAAGTAAACGGAGCGAGAAGCATAAAAGGGTGAAGGGTCATCGTGTGCATGCTCTAATAAAAATCCCTCCTTTCATTTATTCATTCATCCTTCCTGTCCATTTTCTAATGAGTATTCATTCATTTTTGTTCTCAATTCTTTTGCATCGTTCATACTTTTAATATACTTTAATAGCATTCAAACCGGTTTAGGATATAATCGTGGG